CCAGACACTGAATACCTCTGTTTGTTCGTCTGTAAGACAGAGAACCAGGGACAAGGTGATCTAAGGTCATTCATTCATTCCCCCACTGGAGCACTTATTAACTGAGTAACAAGTGTTTCGTGATCACCAGCAAGCTTTTCTTCGTTTCCTAGCTAGGAAAAAGATGAAGCTAGTTCAAAAGGAATTTTAACATATTCACTAGATTCGTTGGTCACTTTCCAGTGAACTGCTTACATGATCAGTAAATTGGGTTCCTTATTGGTAAGTTGTAACTTTAGAAGCCCCAAAGAGAATTATTTACCAAGTGAGACTTATTCCTAAAAATGCATTAGAATTATTATTACTAATTACCATAAATAATTGAACTCCATAATATGTTATTTTTTTAATATTATTTATTTATTTATTTAATTTTATTTTGACTGTGCCAGGTCTTAGTTGCGACGTGTGCAATATCTTCATTGCTAGCACGTGGGATCTTTAGTTGTGGCATGCGGGCTTCTTAGTTGTGGCATGTGAACTCTTAGTTGCAGCATGCATGTGGGATCTAGTTCCCTGACCAGGGATCAAACCCAGGCCCCCTGCATTGGGAGCGTGGAGTCTTACCCACTAGATCACAGGGAAGTCCCCATAATATGTTATTTAGCTAGGTTACACATACTAAAATTATTACACAGTCTCTGTAGTGATTTAGTATGATTGCCATATCTCTTCACATTGAGTTCATTAGTAATGTATGTGTGTCTGTTCCCAGACACTACCTGTGGCTCAGAATCTCACATTATTTACCTGGCTAAATGAAACGTGCAGGTAGGATTGCTCAGTGAGGCATCTTGAAGTTCCAAAAGCCATAATCACACTACTTTTCTTGTTTTTCAAAACATTTTACTGTTCTCATGTAAGCCTTCTCCAATCATTGGGACTACAGCTTTACAGTTCTTCAGAAATTTTAGGAACCACTATCTAGGCTTGCAAGGGGATTTTAGAAGGATTTTTTAATTTTAGAAGGATTTTTATACTTTAGATGTTTTTCTATATTTAGAAGTGTAATTTATATCTCACCTTAGAAGAATATGGATTCTTATTTAGTTGGGGTTTTTTGAAGGAATAAGAAAGTGATACTGAAATAAAGTTACTGAATAATTTGAGAAGCAGTTTCTTAGCATCTTCCACAATGAACATTCTTGGTTTGTATAGTTTGGAAGCCTTGTGAGTCTCAGTTCTAGTTTATTTTACTAAATATCCCTTTCTAGAATTATTCAAAATGGTATAAATTTAATCTAGTAAAGCTACCAAATTTTAACTACTTAAGTAGCATAAGTTCAGTGTAGGGGCACAGAAAACATTTTATTCTTTTATTTTATAGCGTTCATTATATAGATAGCTTTCTTATAAACAGTCACTCAATGAGATAATAAATATAACAATAGATGATTTTAAAAGCTTTTATTTAAGAAACGCTTGTGTTTGCTTCTACCACTGCAGTACCCTTTCTCCAGCCCCAAGGCTGGACAATAAATTGTCATCTCCTGCATAACCTTTTTTATTTATACATCCGAAAGCATATGTTTGTATGATTACATGCAAGTCTATTCTTTTTGTGGTTATGCAACTTCAACATTAATACTTCACAAATTCAAAAAAAAGCACGTTGTTGAAGATTTCTGCTGATATCTGAAAGTTCTTGCCCTCTACATGAGAGTTTGTGTACAAAATATGCGGTTTCCCACATTGTAAACTCTAGTTAAATTCTATTGATGTAAGTAATATAATTCTTTTTTTTAACATCTTTATTGGAGTATAATTGCTTTACAATGGTGTCTTAGTTTCTGCTGTATAACAGAGTGAATCAGCTGTATGTATACAGATATCCCCATATCCCCTCCCTCTTGCACCTGCCTCCCACCCTCCCTATCCCACCCCTCTATGTGGTCACAAAGCACTGAGCTGATCTCCCTGTGCTATGCAACTGCTTCCCACTAGCTATTATATCACTTATTTTATACACTACCAAATGTAAAATAAGTGATATAATTCTTTTGATATAATGTACTTAGCTAAAATTGCCAACCTTTATACTCTTTCCATTCTGGAATTGATTTTTGCTGAGTAGATTAAATCAATATAGAACCAGCTTGTTAGATTCTAACACTTCTTTGGATTTCTAGTATATGTATATGAGAAACTTTAGCTCTTCTGTATTTCTTGATTATGCAGCTTAATTTATCAAGCTACTTTGATATTTTGTATGTTTGTGCCTCACATTTCTGCTAAATATATTTAAAATATACTTTAACAAAAGAATTGACATATAATTTTTAAGGTTTTTGCAACAGTGGGATCTCCCCGATCCAAAAAATATTACAATAAATTGTCATCTCCTGCATAACCTTTTTTATTTATACATCCAAAAGCATATGTTTGTATGATTACATGCAAGTCTATTCTTTTTGTGGTTATGCAACTTCAACATTAATACTTCACAAATTCCAAAATTAAAACTTTTCTCTCCCACATAATATATAGACTTTAGAATGCTTTGACTCTAATTACTACTCCCTAATTTATATGCTATATTATCCAGTGCTTTAGTTCTATCCCTTTCCACCATATATTAGACACTATTATCATTTTATATTTTACAACCAGTGCTTTTTAAGATTTACCCTGTATGTGCTAATATCTTTGTTTACCATTCTTTCTTGTATCTCAGATCATCCATCTGGGATCATGTAACTTCTGCCTGCTACATGTATCTTAAAATTTCCTTCAGCAAAGTCTGCTAGAAGTAAATTCTCAGTTTTGGTAGTCTAAAAATGTCTATAATATGCTCTCATTTTGGAAAGATATTTTTGCTGAATTCTACACTGACAGATAATTTCTCTTTGCAAATTGAAGACACTGTTCTGACATCCATTGTTGCTGTTGAAAGTAAGCCATCAGTCTAATGACTGTTTCTTTGTAGGTAATCTGTCTTTTTTTCTAGCTCCTTTTGAAGGCTTTCCCCCCTACCCTTTGGTGTTCTCTATGAGGTATCTGGGCGTGGGGTTTCTTTTTATTTATCTTGCTTGGGATTCATTGAGCTTCTTGAATCTGAGAATTAGTATCTTTTAGTAATTCTGAGAAATTCCCAACAAATATCTCTTCAAGTATTGCCTCTTCCACATTATCTCTTTTATTTCTATCTAGAATTCTGATTACGTCTTCTAAAATTCTCAAATTTTCTTCTATGTTTTCAATTCCTCTATTTTTCTAGGCTGCATCTGGCTTATTTCTCTGGATCTATAGTTAACATGTCTGATCTGTAGTTTCATTTATCCCCTGTATTTTTCATTTAAATTGTTATATTTTAATTTCTAGAAGTTCTCTTTTTTACTCTTTTTCAAATGTATGTGATCATTTTTTATAATCACTTGTTCTTTATTCATATGTTCAATTTTCTCATTTATGTTTTTTAACATATTAAATGTAGCTATTTCATATTCTCTCTTTGAACATTTCAGTATCTTTGAGGATCTTATTCTGCTATCCGTTGTCTTTTGGTTCTCATTCATGTTGCTTTACTTCCTTTTGTAATTTGTGATTTTATTTTTTTTACAATGAAATGCTTATTTTCCCATGGGAATTATTTCAGACCTGGATTGATGATGTATTCCTCCACAGAGAATTTGCATTTACTTCTGAGAGTTATCTGGAGCCATTACCCCACCAGAACCATCTTATAAAATACTCTGATGTTTCTCAAACCACACTGAGAGTATGAATATGGACCAGAACCTGTATGAGGACCCACTTTTGTTTATAAATAACCAGAGGAGAATTTTTTTTTTTCCCATCTGCTGAGAATCAAGGTTGAGGCAGGCAAGTTTCCTTGCTCTGTTCTTCTGACCATCAGCCTTATTTATTTTTCTTCCTTACACTTGAGAGTGGAGCCCTTTGAAGTATCCCAGCTTTATGTGGGGTCTCTCCTTAGGCACCTAGGCACCCCCATACTGCATTAAGCTACCAAAGCAGATGCTCATGGTCTTCCAGGATTCAGGAGAAAGCCTCAAGGCCAAAGCTTGCTTTGGTATTTCCTTACCTCCTGAGATTCCAGCTTCTACTTTGTTTAGCTATCTGAATATTCTCTCTTTTCATGCCAGCTCAGCAATACATTTCAAAAGGCTTTCAGGTGCATTTGCCCAATATTCCAGTTGTTTCCAGCTAGAAATGGAATATTTATATAATTAAAGACCTAAATGAGTATGTGTGTGTATATATGTATGTGTATATATATATATATATATATATAGTTATATAGATGTTTATCATTATATGTATTTATAGCATTTTATTTATATATACTTATCATAACTTTATTTCCAGTTGCATCTGGTAATACCTTGATATCTGCTATGCACTTCAATTTTTTTCAACTATTCTACAAAAATAATTGGAATGATTTCTGTCACTTTTCTTTGAAAGATAAAACATTTGGTATGCAGTTATTTTTAGATTTAAATAAATATAATCAGCTGTTACCATATTTTAAACTTCTTGTTACATTATGTAGAATTGTAGAATTTTTCAAAACCTCTCAAAATAATAGGGTCACAGAAACAGTCATATCTAGGTCCAGTTGGTATAGAGGGATTATTTATATTGAAAATGTTAGCAACATTTGAACTGTTGCACAAATTTTAAGGTTGGTAAAATATAAATACGATTTCCTTTGAGCAAAGAACCCATCCCAGGGAAAGTTGTGTTTACACTGCATTTTAGAAAGTTAAATAATTTTAAAATTTGTAGTCATTCAGAATTTCAAGAAAATCTTTTAAAATGGTGAATCCCTTTGTCTAGAAGGCTCTTTTGGTAAAGCAATTGATTTGACCCTTTTAAAAAATCGAGTTTTTATAAGACGTTTTCTTCAAGTAACTATACATATCATTGCAATCAGTAGAGATAAGCAGCCACAGTCAACCCTGCCCTGTCTCCCTAATCAATGGTCGTCCTTCTTCTAGTACGTACGAGTATCTTTCGATACAAAACCTGATCTCCTCCTACACCTGATGACCAAGGAATGGCAGTTGGAGCTTCCCAAGCTTCTCATCTCAGTTCATGGGGGCCTACAGAACTTTGAACTCCAGCCAAAACTCAAGCAAGTCTTTGGGAAAGGTCTCATCAAAGCAGCCATGACAACTGGAGCATGGATATTCACTGGAGGTGTTAACACAGGTAATTGGAAGTGGGACAGAGAAGGACAACATAAGGCCACGAGAATGTTGTGACTAAGGTCATTTTCTCCTGAGGTTAAATATATTTACATTCCCCCACCTCAGCCCCTACACCTGTGTGTCCACACCTGCTGGTTATTGCTCCTTTCACTGAGTCTCTCTCCTTCCTCTACCTAAATGATAACTGTACTGTCATTTCTCAACCAAGAAGAATTATTTACACTTAAGAAACAGATTGGGATATTTAATACTCGACTCTACAGAATTTATAAACACGACTAGTGGAATTTCACAGGATATTTTCAATACCTCACTTTGCCAAATAGGCATCCAGTAATTTTTTAAGGAATAACTTTTGCTCTAAATTGGAGACTCTGTTCTGTAAGTGATTTTAAGTTTGATGCAAATAGCTTTAGAGTTTGCAGAATGCCCTTTCCATCTGGGGTGACAGCAAAGTCTGGAGTAACATGTGTTTATTATTTAAAGTATTTCATTGAATCAACTCTGCACCAACAGAAGACACACCCCACTCTGAACTCCAAGCAGTTTTTTCTACCTGCCAAATGAGTTTCTATATTGTGATCCAGGCAAGCTGTCAAATCAATTCTTACAAACCCACTTAGAGTTAAGTGCTTATCTGCAGAACATTATGAATGTGCAGCAGATAATGGAATGGATGCTGTAAATGTTTTGATGTATTTCCCCAGCCTGAGTCAGAAGTGCCAGTTGGAAGAGACAGGTAATACTGCAGTAAATTATTTCAGACTTGTTTCAAGACTCAAAGTCTGCGCATGTGGACACCTTTGAAGTTAGTGGGACATGCTGAACATAACCCTGGATCAACTAGTTTTAAATAAAATGTATCTCAATGTTGGTTATTCATTTGTTTGTAGTTTAGATGATGTCTGAGTGAGACCTGCACTCAGAAGTCTCCTCCATACCTAGAAGTTGTGAACGTTCAGCTCACAACAATATAGGTTCATTTACACAGCGAAATCTGCATATTGGCCATGCCCATCGTTGTCATGTGAAACCCTGACTCAGTCTGTATAGTGACATGATCTTAGAATGACCTGCTCAGCCGGCTCTTTACTGTTTACTTTGTGATGATCAAATATCTACAGAGCAGTTTTATTTCGTGGCTGTTCAGGCTTTAAGCTCCAACTTTCACTCACAGTTTAACAGGCATCATTTTCCTATAATTATTCAGTCTTTTGCTTTCCTGGCATAACCTGCATCTCCTGTGGAGATCAACTCAAAGGTTTCTAAAAGAAATGCTTACCAATCTTCTGTTTGGGGGAAATTGGAACATTGTTTATTGTTTCTCTTCTTTTGTGAAATGCACCCAATATCAAAAGAAGAATTAACAGCGTAAATGTTGTAAACCAAAGAGTTCACCTCTGCCTCTCTCCAGGCATAGTGTTCAATCCAACACTCAAAGTGTGTTCGATTGAACACTCAGCTTGGGTAAAAGGTGAAGGCGGAATTGTGGCAGATGGAGGGAGGGGCTACCATGAAGTTAACCTTCTTGTCCAGGACTGGACCCCAAATGAGTTTTGCATGTAAATAGGAAAAAACTTAACACTAATATTAACACCTTTACCCTTGTATTTGGTTTTCTTTATCAGTACTTTCTCTTAGAAGATCCATAGATGAGATAGTAAGTGAAACTGATATGCTTCCCAATGCTCCCAGCACAGCTCAGCATGGATTAGTGGCTATTTACACTACTCTGTTATTTGATTTTTTTTAAAGGAGGCTCTTTCTGTTTGATCTTATGAATATTTCAGAATTGAGTTGTTCACACATGTCTGTTGTCTCCTGTGATTAAATTGCCTGGTGTGTTTTGTGTGCTTAGTTAGTTCAGTGGTGCCCAGTTTCTGAGCCCTCGCTCTGTGCTGGCACCTGAAGAGAGTAAGACGCTGATCTCCAACCTTCCCCTAAATGAGTTTACTCTGAGCAGAAACATCCTCACATGTGATTATGAACCAAAGAAGAATATATTCAGTGACATATTGAACTATTTAAAATATACAAACTGCAACCCTGTTCAAATGGAGAAGAAATCAAATCCAACTCAGCTTTCATATAGGAGATGGAACTAGGTGTGAGTTTTTCCTTGAAGAATGGGTGGAATTTTCCTTAAAGTATAAATGGAAGGAAGCATCTTTTCTTAGAGAATGTATTTTATATCTTCTATAAAAATGATCACTTGAGAGAGAAGTTAAAAGATTAGAAATTATATCTTATTTAAATGGTTTATTTAAAGATAAAAGGTAGTTCCCTACCATCTTGTAAACTGAATTTTCGCACTCTTAACTATGGTGAGGAAAGGCGTGGTGATGGGAAGGCCATTATGACAGAAGAGGAAAATAATTAGAATGATGTCTAAAAAGGTGTATTTATGTATTTTTAACATAAATTTTCCGCAGAATATGTCAACATTTTCTTTACAAGCAGGGTCTCCACATTATGTGTCCATAAATAAGAAGTTGAAATCAAGATTAACAAAATCTGAACTAAGTAATTACTCTATTTGCTGACCCTAACTCATACACAAACTGTGGTATAGATTTAATATAATATTATTTATGATGCTTTTTATAGGATATTGTCATGGTATTAGTACTTAGTCATAGTAACACATCATTATACTTATAATACAAGAAAAGATTCTCTAAGTTTAAAGTATCGTATTTATTCTTTTTTTTTAAATGAAGTTTTATTATTATTTTGGCCACGCGGCTTGCAGGATCTTAGTTCCCTGACCAGGGATCGAACCCATGGCCCTTGCAGTGGAAGTGCAGAGTCCTAACCACTGGACCACCAGGGAAGTCCCTGTATTTATTCTTTTTATAGATATTGTATACATCTTTTTTTTCATATGAGATAGAATAAGAAGTGTATTACTAGAGTTCATATACAAGTCCAGCAAATGTATCTGGCATTAGAGCTGCAAGTTTATGTTCTCTCCTGAACATGTGTAGTTCGTGTAGAAATGTGTCAAAACTTTATATTCAGTGCATTTAATCTTAGGAAAAACAGTTACCACAATTTCCTTTAGACCAATGGAAAGTAATTGCTTTAAAAGGCAAGAGTAATACTTCTCTTTTTCCTCTTAGGTGTTATTCGTCATGTTGGAGATGCCTTGAAGGACCATGCATCTAAGTCTCGAGGGAAGATATGTACCATAGGTATCGCCCCTTGGGGAATTGTGGAAAACCAGGAGGACCTGATTGGAAGAGATGTAAGTCCTGGGAGCTCCCTGTATGTGACTTCTCATAGAGGTGATATCAAAAGAGTAAAATAAAATTAGAATTCAAACTATGCATACTGGATTACTCTGTCAGTCCCCACCTCCCAAAATGAAACTGATGTTAGGAATAGTTATGGGAGACTATTTATTTTCCAGAATCTATCTATGTGAACTCCGTGTCAGTTCTTAGGATTAGGAAAGGTCCTAAGTAAGATTTATCAACTACCCTCTTGGTTTGAATCAAGCAATGGTCTTTTATCACCCATCAAATTTTGCAAGTGCTCTTGGCACAGTTATGTTAAGATTAATTAACAGCTTGAATTCATTGACTGATACATAAAATGAGGACTTTCCTCACCCCAGGTCTCCAGCTTCTTTATTTGAGTGTCCTTCACCTAGGACAGGAGGCTACAGAGGGAGATTCTTTCCATTCAAACTTGTGGCTTCCCTGGTTGGCCTTTCTTTTGCTAAATGCTTGGGTGAGGAGTGGCACAGTTGGGATCTTTATTTCCTGCTCTGGAGCTACTCAGAAGCCCTTGACCAAACTCAGCAGGTTGTTAACCTCTCTTTCCTGTTCTGATGTCAGGAGCCACACACTGACCAATCAATCAACAGTTTTGCCAGAGAGAATTTGGTCCTGTTTTTTCTGAGTCACTGTCTTATTTCCAGGGTCTCTTTTTCGTTTGTTTAAAACCACAAACAGGTCATTCCCCACCTACCTTCTAGGGTTTTTCTCTCCTACTAACAACCAGACTTTTTCCCCTATGTAATACTTCCCAAAATTCCACTGGTATGAGTTAGACTATGTACACAGATTGCCATGCATTATTTATTTCTTTTGTCCCCAATAATTTTAGCAATTAATTATTTATCAATGCTTCTCTATATCAGATCAATACAATCCTCCATTCCCAATCAAGGCCTGCCATAGAGTAATAAATGTGCTTCGCAGTTCTAAGTAACATGAAGTCTGTCAGAGTCAAAAAAAAAAAAAAAATTTTTTTTTTTAATCAAAGAGGTTGAGAAGTAACTGGTCCTAAACTGCTTTTTCTATTGTGTTGCAGTATAATGAAACCATCTTATTTCAGTGCAACACAGTATGTGCAATTTTTTAAAATGCAATGCAAAATACTTTGAATTTAAAGATCATGAAATGGAAGCAGTAAATAAACACTCTTTGAATCCTTCAGAACTTCATTTAAGTGATAAATAACTTTATTTTAAGTGATAAGAAATGTCCATATCTATGCTTCCAAATTACATGTAGAAACACGAATTTATCCAGAATATGTAGAATAAGGAATGAGATAGTTTTATCAGTGTAATGTTCTCTTAACTAAAATGTACTTGCTGTTTTGTATCATACAAAAATTGAATATCTCAAGCAGCAATTCCCAAAGTGTTATGTTGGCAGAACCGACTGGAAAAGTAATACTAATTTTTTCAAAGTATCTGGGACTAGTCTTTGATGGAACGTATTTGGGTTAATATTTGCCTTAGATTCCAAGTTGGCTTTTAAGTATATATCAGCTGCGAACTAGAACAAATACAGTTCTTAAAGAATTAGAATATGCTAAAATGCCCCCTAATACCAAGAGCATCAAATAGTTCATTTTATTAACAAATGAATTAACTATTTAAAATATCGTGATGATTCAGAAGTCATTTTTAAATGTTCATAGTTTCAGCATCTCTCTTGTAAACCTGAGTTGTTATTATTCAATTTTGTGGGGGGAAAACCGTTTTGGAACTTTCTCATGCAGATGAACTATGAATAAATGAAGGCTGATTATTTCTTTATTCAAGATAGAGTAACCATATAATTACCTCAGTTGCCTAATCATTTGCAGAGAATGCTGGCCTACTGCCTTTCTGTGTCATTTTGTTTGTCTTCTATTTCTGTATGATTGTGGAAAGACAATACTTATATTGTATTTACTTGCCTTGCTGGGTTGGGTGAATCACCCCTAATTCATTTTCCTCCAATTCTAGCTTTTTTTCTCTGATTTCACCTCCTCATGTGCTCCTCTTTTTCATTCTTCTTTTCTTTCTCCCTGTATTTCTTACCTGTTCTATGCCAATAGGAACTTACATATGCCTGTGCCAACGGGACTTATTTACATTGTCTGACTTCAAAACTAGTCTTGATCCCAGTTCAGGGAGCAGAAAAAGCCACTTATAAGTTCAATAAAATGTGCACATTCATTGTCCCTGCTCACAGGGGTCTAATAAAGGCAAGCCATGGCTCACAAAGATCCAAGTGAACTTGCGGAGAGACCGAGAAGAGGAAGTAAAATTGGCAGGTTGTAGAGAGCACAGGAAAAACAATCGTATTTTCATTTTTTAGTAAATCTTTGACCAAGATCTGTTGAATTTCAACCACTCTGGCATGCTTTTCCCCCAAAATTGGGAAACCACAATACACATAGGACTTCTCAGGCTCTTATATAATAAGAGTTTGTTTTTCAAGTTGTAAATTATTTGGAGCAAAAGTGCTGTTTTTTGTGAGGTTTTTTTAATTTAATTTTTTTTTTAATCTGTGTACTGACCTATTTAGGTGATTCACTTTCCAATCGTGATTTTCCCTTTCCTATAGATTCTTTCCTCTTTTCTATTTATTTATTTATTTAGCTGCACCACGCGGCTTGTGGGATCTCAGTTCTCTGTCCAGGGATTGAACCCAGGCCCTCGGCAGTGAAAGCAAAGAGTCCTAACCACTGGGCTGCCAGGGAATTCCCAAAAGTGCTGTTTTTGGTATACAGGATTTATGACGTAGTTTGAGGGACATTTAAATATGTGTTTATTATTCTAATGTATAATTTAAATGATAGTTTAAAAGGAATATGACGTTAGGCTGTCATAAAAAGAAGTATTTGAGTGAAATATGTAGTCACTGGTAAAAATCTCCCTAAAATTCATTAAAACAGAAGTGTTGTCTGGTAAGCTTCTTAAGTAGTTACAATAATTTCCATAGCTAGCTTGATTTAATACCTTCTATCCTTTTTCTTCCATTTTATATAAACAAACACACATGTAATAAACATCAAAAAGGAAACCTTATAGGATCAGACATCAGGTAGCAGAGAAAAACAACCAACATATTATTAAAAATCGACCACTTCAGAATTCTATCAAAATGCAATCATTTGAAAAAATAGGATTGTTGCATTTTTGGTCAAGTCTATGTCTATGTTCCAGAATAAGATTGAAGTGGCACAAAGTAAATGTCAAGGGAAATCCAGGAAATTTACTTGAAATAAATAAAAAAATAAGGATAAAAGAAAGGCTCTATATCTTATGCCAGATATTTTATTACAGTAGATTTATATCCAAACCAATAGAAAATATAGATCATTTTATTTCTGTGGGGCTGGCTCTCAGATGAGCACTTTTAGAAGCTGAAAATTCAGGTACTACTAGAGTTATTTTATTGATAGAAGTAGTAGACATCACAGTTGCTATTCATCTTAGAATTTGAATATACCTTTGGAATGACACCATAAAGGCAAATACTAGCCCTAAAAATAAAGAAGAAAGATTAATTTGTCCTAGGGTGTGCTTCTAGATATTCTGAAAAATGTACTTCCTTTCAAGTCTGATCTCTTAACTAGACTTTAAAGATATAAGGCATGGGCTTCCCTGGTGGCGCAGTGGTTGAGAGTCCGCCTGCCGACGCAGGGGACACGGGTTCGTGCCCCGGTCCGGGAAGATCCCACATGCCGCAGAGCGGCTGGGCCCGTGAGCCATGGCCGCTGAGCCTGCGTGTCCGGAGCCTGTGCTCCGCAAGGGGAGAGGCCACAACAGTGAGAGGCCCGCATACCACAAAAAAAAAAAAAAAAAAAAAGATATAAGGCATGTATCTTTGGATTCTGAGTTCAACTTAGAGCCACACACATAGTAGGTACTCAATAAATATTGAGGAGATGGATTGGCCATGATGAAATTCAGGCTTCAGGGAAAATAAACATTATGGAAAAAATATAATGATAAATTATATCTGGTTCACAACTTTACCACAACTTAACCTCTACTCATATTACAGAGCTTGATCATACTATAGTAACTATAGTTGAGGGATTTTTTAACCAAGTATCTGAATATAAAACTATTTTCTTATGTAGCAGCTCAAGTTGGGAGGTGGATGGTGAAGCCTCTACACGTTGGGGATGGAGACAAAGAAATGTGGAATGAGAAGAGGCTCTTCTGTAACCCCTTTGAAAGATACATGATTCTCCCAACTCAGTGATAGAACTAGCCTTGATTCTTTCAATTTAAATACCTTCAACTCTGTTTAACCAAATCTTTCAATTAATAGATAAAAACAACAGACTTTGGTGAAGAATAATGCTATGAATACTGAGATAGTAACAATCTTTTGCCCTGACATTAGACCTGAAAACGAATATTGTTCAGCTCTTAAGGTTAACTCCACCTCTGTGATGTCTCCATATTATTCCTACTGCTCTTCTCTTCTATGGCAACCCGTAATCCTATACTTCCATCAAACTAAGCTCAAGGCTCCCTTCCACCAAGATGGCTTCCCTGACTTCACCCACAATATCATATGCCTGATGGTAGTTCTCCCACAACTGTCTTTTTCCCCTACTTAATTAAAAACTCCTAAAAAATAGGGATTAAATTGTTTTCTTTGTTTGATGGTAACCACTAACATAATACTTTGCATGAACATAAGGCCTTGACATGTCACTTAAACTTTATAAGATTTGATTTCTTCATCTCTAAGTTGACTATAAAACATTTGCTCTATTTTATACAACTTCAATGAGCATAATCATAATACTAATTGTAATTTATTGAGCTCATATTTGAGGAAGCTCTCTGTGATTGTATATATTAGCCTGCTGAGATATGTTTTATTCCATAAAAAAAAAAAACTAAGCCAAGATCCACTGTCTCCAAAGCCCATACTCTTAACTAGTATTGGATTGGCCAAAAAGTTCATTCGGGGTTTCCCATAAAATCTTATGGGA